TGTGCATTTCCAACTAAAACACAAATATCATTTTATATTCTATGAGTTAAATAGGCCTAAATAAAACACCAACTATCACATGATTGCACTCATATGTGGAATCTAAATAACCAAATAAACTGATGAACGGAGTGGATCCAGAAACTCGAAACATGGAACAGTGTGGAATCTCAGAGGGAAGACAGGGGAGGGTGGGTGAGTGCCAGGTAATGAAGGCCTGAGGCAGGGGTGGGCTGGAGGGGGCCAATTAGGGAAAAAAGGGAACATATATAATACTTTCAACAATAAAGGATTATTAAAAAATAAATAAAAATAAACCACCCTAGTATCAAAAAGACTTTGCACTTACTATATGTACTATTCCCTATGGCAGAATCCGAGTAAACGTTAATTATTATACTTATGATTTGCATGATTACTGGTAATATAAAATAATGCAAATAAGACCCTACAACTGAGGAATTATTCAGATGACAGATTTTCTTCTCTCAAGGCTCTTTTCTATTTTTTTGAAAGAAATAAAAATAATTAGAATTGACTGTTAACATTTACATTTCATCTTCAATTTTCTAATATCCAACTCTGAAATAGTAACTCTTCATTTTATTCTGATGTTAGTAATTTTTAATGCAGATGCTCCAACAGTTTTTTTTCTCAGCCCAGATTGTACTCGTACATTTCCTTCTATGGCGAACACAAAGTTATTCATGAAAAAGTTCATTATATTTCTGTTAATTATACTATTGCAATCTGACTCTCAATGGCTGGCTTTAGGCTTGTTTTTCTTATACTGCAAATTGAACTACCTGTTTTACCCAAACATGCAACATGACTGCTCTCCAGTCCCTGGCTTTGCTCTCCTACTCCTGGGGGATGCCCTTATCCTTAGCTCTGTCTTTTGTGATTCTGACATTATTCTAGACCCAATTCAAATGCCAAATTGCTCATTCTCTGCATAGCACTTCGCCACTCATTACTCTCTTTCTGGTTTGTTTAGTACTTTGTTTACCATCTTTCCCTCCCTCCCCCCCCCCCCCCCCCCCCCCCAGCACAATCAGGGCCTTTTCTTGTTCACTGAAATCCCAGTGCCTAAAACAGTGCGTAGATGGTAAGTACATTAAGTATTTGTTGAATGAGCAGAAAAAATGTTTATCAAACCAATCTAAGGATAAAATAAATATAGTAAAATTCTCTATAAATAATGATTAAAAAAAACAACCACCTATAACCATTTGTGTTCCAAAGTATAGGTTGGCACTTCAGCTTAATCTAGTGTTATTTTGACAAAGCTGTGAGAATTAAGGAAGATAACGTGACATTTGGAATCAGTCAAAAATAATTTCTAACACCAAAGGCTGAAAGAATTCCAGTTTGAAGGTGCTATTTTTCTCATATGTAACTGTGCTTGTTATACTCCATTTATAATCTAACTAAACACATTTTTGGTATGCTAACATTTTATGCAAACCTCTTGATTTTGTCACATAATCAAAAAAGATTCAATGAAGTAAAAAATACCTTAGTGTAGTTTTGAATGAATTTTTAACAAAAACAGATTTTATATTTCAAAGTAAATAGTCATTTTAATATTAACCTATATAAAATGAAACCTGTATCATAGTTTTTTTCTACTTTAACTTAAATTTCCTATACGCATTCTCCCTTTTTAAAATATATCTCAAACATAACAACAAAAGAGGAAGGAACTCTGAAATACAATGCTGAAATCATGAAATCTTCCAAAGTACAAAATAAAGTCTTCTTAAATGTTTTTTTTTTTAAAGTATTTTCGTTGATTTTAGGGAGAGAGGAAGGTCGAGGAAGAGAGAGAGAGAAACATAAATCAACTGCCGCCTACCTGCCTCCATCTCACTGGGGATCTAGCCTGCAACCTGGGCAGCAGCAACCTCTCAGTGCAGAGGGCGGAGGATGATGCTCAATCCACTGAGCCACTCTGGCCAGGCTAAAGTCTTTTTCTTTTTTTAAAAAAATATATTTTTATTGATTTCAGAGAGGGAGAGAGAGGGAGAGAGAGATAGAAACATCAATGATGAGAGTGAATCATTGATCAGCTGCTTCCTGCATGTCCCTCGTTGGGGATAGAGCCCAAAACTTGGGCATGTGCCCTGACTGGGGATCGAACTGGTGACCTCCTGGTTCCCAGGTTGACACTCAACCACTGAGTACACCTGGCTGGGCTAAAGTCTTTTTCTTAATGAACAGCATAGGCACTACTAAACAGGTGTTACTTAACCCTGAGTTAAATTGCTTTACCTCTGAGTCTCAGTTGTGCTTACCTATAAAATGAAATAACAATACCTACTTTTTCTGGGCTGAAAAGAGGAGGAAAGAGAAAACAGCCTAGCACCATGCCTGGCACATATAAAGTGCTTAGTAAGTATATATTAAATGAATGAATTCCATTAAAATCACAGGTGCCAATGAACTAAATTACTATATATAGTTTAATGAAAAGTAGTAATTAATGATTGTGCAACCAAGTAGCTAAAGGTATAATCACATGTGTTTTAACAGTTCCCTGATTAATACACAATCAACAGAGCAGCATATATGTGAATAGATCAAGTATATTGACCTTGAAACACTATGGGTGGCATAGGAGTGGTCCAAGCAATTATTCAAGAGACCTAAGTATGGTCACATCTACCCAAGCAAACAAAAGAAGAGATTACAGAAATTTTCTTATGTCTTAAATAGAAATTCACATATGTTATTGGAGAGACAGTAGTTAGTTATTTATACCTCATTAAAAAAAATTCTAACAGATAATGATTGTTTATTAATCATTTTTTATACCTGCATAGGCACAAGCTAAAGGCATTGAAGTTCTCTCTATTATAAATAATAACCAATTAATGTATGGTAAATTATGCTTCCTCTTACTTTCCCTTTCAGTCCCTATGAAAACCCTACATTGTCAATGCCGTAAGAATGATAGAACAGATTTTCCATTAGGGAGCTCAAGGCATAAGTCTAGAAACAAACATGTTTGGTGTTGGGGATACATTAGGAAACAAAGATAAAAGCCTCCATAGGCCTTACAATCTCAGATTTGTGTTGAAATAGGACAATGCATGGCTTTTAGAGTTATGAATGAAGCTGCTCAGATACATATTCATAATAAAGTATGTTCTTAAAGAACTGCATTAGCAGCTAGAGGATTTGTATGTTCTTTTCATCCTCAATTATTGAATGAGGTTTGATATTTTGTGCAAGGCCTTGGAACATACTATGCTTTTATTGTGCACAATTCAACTTCTTTCTGTTGTTTGATTTAGGGGATGTGAATAATGATAATCAAGCAGAATTGTTGCTTCTTCCTCAGTCCCATAGCACTTCCTTTCTGTGGTGCTTAGAGCATTTACCTCATAGCTTGCTCATTTGTCTCCCAGCCTGGACCCAGCACTGTCCAGGGACAGGGCCACATCTCATTAATCTCTGCAAGGCCAGAGCCTAGCAGAGTGCTTGCCGCACAGTTCAGGTGGGATGTATGTTTGCTGTATGTATAAATTTATATATGCCTCACTGTTTTCAAAGCACACTCAGACCTTCACAAACTCAGCAAGATTGAAAGGTAGAATTAGTTTCCTCTTTTACAGACTCTCAGTGAGAGTGAAGGTTATTCCCATGTTTGACAGGTGAGGAAACGGGATCAGTGAGGAATTATGTGATTTCTAACGAAAACATAACTAAGACTTGAATTTCAAGATCAGGTTCTTTCTAAAACACTCAGCAAAAATATAGGCATGTTGAGCTATTTCAGGGATGTTTTTAGGGTCTGTTGGATGTATGGCCATCTTCTACTGTCTCAAATCATTGGTGAAATCTTGCTTCCTTTTTTAAAAAATGTAGACCAATGTCCTAGCCAGTGTGGCTCAGCAGTTGAGCACCATCATATGAACCAGGAGATGGCAGTTCAATTCCTGGTCAAGGCACATGCCTGGGTGGTGGGCTCAATCCCCAGTAGGGGGGTATACAGGAGGCAGCTGATCAATGATTCTCTCATCAGTGGTGTTTCTATCTCTCTCTCCTGCTCTCTTCCTCTCTGAAATCAATAAAAATATATTAAAAAATAAAAATGCAGGCCTTGGATGCAAATGATCTCCAGAAATCATCCATTTTGTCATCAGAAGACAATGATATGGATCACATACAAATATTTTGCTTTAAAATAGAATGTATTGCTGGCCAAAACAATTCTGCCCTGTTCTAGGGAAGGGAATGGAGGCAGCTTTGTCCTTTACAATCCTAAACCCACGGTCATCACCATTCTGCTTACATAAGATTTCTATATACTTCTTAATTTCTTTACCAGGAAGGGAGTTCCTACAGTGGCAAGATAGTGAAAGCAGTTGAAGAGGTCACAGCCAGTACTTGAAGGTTTTAGTAATTGGATTCTGATCAACTGACTCTAAAGTTACCCTTTTAATAACATCACATCCCACTAGATCATAAGCTACAGGAAAGAAGGAGCTGTACTGAATTCCTAAATCAGGTCAGGGCACATGGCATGTAACACTCCTGGCTCTATTCCTGACATACATGTTAATAAGTGACAACCGAATAGCCACTGGCTACATAGACCAACCTGAAAATGTGCTAGGTACATGTTTCACAAACTTAGTAATGGAACTTCTCTTCGTGTTTTTTTTTATTTAAAACCATTTTTACGAAGTTTGCTTTTGAGATAAGTTATTTTCTAGGCAATACACTCAGGTCTTGAATGGAGACCTAGTGACGGAACCCTGGCCTTAAGTCAGTTATCCCGATACTGTTACAAGTCAACATTCCAAATAATAATAATAACAGAAATTAACAGCAACTACATATAAATCCCAACATTTCTGAACTAGAAGCATTTTCTCCCCGGGGGATGGGGTTACAGGTTTGACAAATTCTCTTAATCTGAAAAAAAAAAAAAAATCACCTCTCTACCTCCCTGCCCCCATCCCTCTTCAACCTTCTCCCCTCCCCCTGGGGCACGCACACTCTGACCATTTCATTTCACTGGAAAGTTGAAAGAAAGCAACACGCCATCTGCACCCGTGTGTGCTCCGTGGGCTGGAACAGCGAAGTTCTCGGGCAGAGCCTTCCTCCCCGGAGCCGGCGATGCAGCCGCTCTGATACCTGCTCAGCTCCACGCGGCATCCGAAGGTCTGTCCGCAGCGAAACAGTTGCGTCTCCATCTGGCTGCCAACCCACCCAAGCTTTCTTCTCCTCCACCGCCGCCGCCACCTTCCTCCCCCCCTCCTTCCCCTCCTTTCCATCTTCCCTCTCCACCCCCGCCCCCAATCTCCTCCTCTTTTTCTCACTAAAAACGGTTGCTGCTGCTGAAGCCGAGCGTCACTTGGGCTCCCGCCGCAGACATGGCGACATTGACAGTGGTCCAGCCGCTCACTCTGGACAGAGGTAAGGGAGCGACCCGCCCGTCAGCCCATCGCCTCCCCTCTGCCTCCTCTTCTGTCCCCGCCAACTGCCACCGGGACAGGCGGACATGCTCGGGCGGGGGGAGCAGAGCGAGCGAGCAAGGGCGAGCGAAGAAGGC